GTAATTCTTATTCTTTTGAAATAAAAATACGAATTTCTTTCCTCTAGCAATAAAACTACCTGAATTCGAAGACTCATAAATTATTCAGCATCTATATAAATAGATTTCGTGATTATTGACTTACTACATCCAATCTACGATTAAAGAGGTTCATTGGTTTTTTCATGACTTATCAGAAGATAATTCTAAATAAAAACTCAAGAAAAAAGGCAAAAAGAATATATCATGTAACAAAACCCAATTATATAACTTACTAGCGGTCTCCCGCGACTCCGTACGTGCGGAATTAAAAATTAATAAGTAGCCTATGTCTTCTTCCAGATATTCTACAACTATGCCAAATATCAGAGATCCGCTGAGCCGTATCGGAGATACCTTCAAACATCCATCCATCTATCCATCTATCCATCTAAATATTCGCATTTATAATCTTATTATAAAATTCTCGCGTCACAATTTTCGTTCCCATACTCCTCCGAAGCGGCTTGACCGATTCTCATGAAATTTTGTGAGCATATTAAGTAGGTCTGAGAATCGGCCAACATCTATTTTTAATTCCGCGCGGACGGAGTCGCTGGCGACAGCTAGTATTACATAAGATTTTATTAAACTAAAAGTATCAACCCATATTGATTGTGGTTAATATAAGACGGCATAAACTAAATAATAATAGTAAACTTTATTACCATAAAAACCTTACAAAGTTATATAAAATACATGTATTTAGAAACAGTAATGGCAAATTATTCAAACTTTCGTGAGACATTATACTAAACTGATATATAAACACGGCTAAACACTCACGAATAATCGTCCGGTGGCGGCACCGACTAGTTTCGAGCCCATCGGGGGCCCTTCATCAGGATGAGTGGTACTGGTATTATTTGGGCCGCGGACGAGAGCGAAAGCGTGCCCGTGGTCCCGTCCCGATGCGTCAGAGGGCAGTCAGGTTTTAGTGGGTATTCTGGTCACCTTCTGTGGCCGGCGAGTCCCACACTCCCTACGCCATTGCACCGCCCGGCGTAGGCGTGCGTAAATGCATTTCCTGACTATAAAAAAAAAAAATGGTACTGGTATTATTTCGCGGACGCGGCCCGTCGCTCACTGACCGGACGTATATACGTGAGTGTTTAGCCGTGTTTATATATCAGTTTAGTAATGGCAAAGCTTCACCAACACTAGCCAATTGAATTCTAAAAAGTAACCTATTACGACTAATTATGTTTACGAAATTATACGGTAGATGGCGTATATTGTAACGCCATCAAAATACGTTCATGTATATTTATTTTAGATGTGTCTTATTCTATTACCTTACGCGTAATTTGATATCCAATCTGGAAATTGCTGTTTGCCATAATGAAAATTTCCTCGTCCTTTCCAACCCAAACAAATGAAAAAGATCCTAGCTAATGATAAAGAAATATTTTCTTATATCTACTCAAAAGGCTCTTTGTTTGAGTGGATTTTAATAAAAATTTGAATTCTCTTTATTTTATACCTACAACGAATTCATCATCTCTTTGTCGATAAGTATTTTTACATGTTTTAAGTAACATCTATCTATACAACTATAAAAGAAAGTCGTGTTAGTTACACTATTTATAATTCAAGAACGGCTTTACCGATATGGCTAAAAATTGATAAGGAGGTAGCTTAGAGCCAGGAGACGGACGTAGGATATTATTTATTCATTTTTTATTTTTTTTCGAATTTATGCCTTGAAGAGCTGTTTTTTATTTAACTTACTAATATTATAAATGCGAAAGTTTAGATGGATGTGATGTGGATGGATGGATGGGTGTTTGAACATATCTCTAGAACGGCTGAACGGATCTCGATTAAATTTGGCATACGTATAGCACATAGACTGAAAGAACACATTGGCTACACTAATTAAGTTTTTTATATATCCATGCGGACGGAGTCGCGAGCGACAGCTAGTCTTTTATATGTCACTAATAGACAAGAAAATTTCACGTTTTTCGTATAAATACTCGAACAAAAAGCGCGCAACCCTCCTCATTATTCAGTACACTAGGAAGTACTCTACAAACTTTTATCTTTAGGATTACAAAACTTTTGTACGAGAAAAGATTTATACTAAAGTTTGAGAAAGCATCATACCTCATGTGGATGTAAAGTGAAATAGAGCTAAAGTAATCTTTTGTCTCTGTCTTTTATATCGCTCTCTGTTTATCTTTACGTCAACTCATAGGCGGTATCGATTTAATTATTAAAATTACAATTTTCATACATCCCAAAACTAATAAACATAAACACCGTAGAGAGCCCTCTAGCGTTTGAAAACAACATTAAATCGTTAATTTGTGTCTGTTATAAATATGTAAACTTCAATACGAAATTTTCGTACAAAATTTATTTGAAAGTATTCAATGTAGTTTTCATTTCGTGTTCATATAATTTTTTATAATATATTTAAATATAATTATCTGATTTTTTCTTTAGTTCTTCTAAAAAATTGTTTAAATAAAGAAAATCTTACGTTTTTGCTACACATTGTAACTTTGGTTGGCAATCAGAGACAATGTACTCGTGTGTGGAACTAAAACAATGTATTAACCCAACTGCAGATGGCGCTTTCGCCTTGTTCAAACATATTTATGCCACTCTCTACTAGATTGGAACTGTAGAATTGCATTAAGTCTAAATCTAAAGTAAGCATTTCTGAGCTGGTTCCACTTTAAACAAAGTCTCAAGTAAATAGACGCTTTTACAATGTCGGTATAAGTAGCCAATAAATTCTGCGTATTAAAGTTAGATTTCTTTAAGACGAGAAATAAGTTTCTTATGCAACGGAATAAAGTTTTCTTTCCGTTGAAAATATTTAACCTAGTTTAATGGTCGTCATGACGTTTCTCTGTTGATGATAGAAGATTAACCGTTGGTTTCCGATACCAAAATGTCTGTATAAAACATATCGCCAACCCTGTAATTACCTTTGATAAACCAGAGACAACAATTTGTTTTAAACGGAGATTTTAGGCTAAGAAACCTACGGTCAGGCATTCACTTGTAATTTGATACTAACATTAGTTATCGATATTTACGATTTGCAACTATCTCATGTTCATAATATTCTTTGTTTTTATAATTATTAAATATAGCTTGTCTTAAATTAAAGTGATGTCAAAGACACTAGACGAAGTAAATAGTGGTGGAACATAATTAAATCAATCGAAATACGTTTCTCCAACGTAAATATGTGCTTATTCAAAGATACATATTTTGTTAGGAACAAAATCGAATTTTCGGGCAAGTAACCGAATAAGCCTCCTTATTACCTTTATTCCGCAAAGGGTAAAAGGTTAGATTGATCGATGAAATAATATTATAAGAAGCCCTTATACTTTAAGGTAATTATTACAAAAAAGGATTTATTTAATGTTTCGATTTTATGCGTGTTACGTGTGTCAGTCACAGCCGGAAAATACTTTTTCAAATAAAACATAGTCTTCTTTAACTCATATATTTCTTTTGGAATTGTAAACAACAATTTTTTCAAAAACACTGCTGTTAAATTGTCTTTACGATTACTCGAATGCCAGGAAAAAAACATGGCCGTCATTCAGATGAGCAATTACAATACTTTAAATTTACGATAACGAAATACTGTCAGATTATTAACATGATAAGTTGAATACTTCTATTTTATTTTTAAGAATCAAATATTTAAATAATCTATTAGATCGTAAAAAAATAAAATGTTGTCATTTTAAATAAAAAGTGTTTTTGACTTATAGCATAGACTAAAAAATGTTTTAGGTTAAGGAATTACAGAATATATAAAATGGCTAAGAGGTGATAGAGTCAAATATTTAGATAAAGGCAACGTAGAACACTTTGGCTGTCCCGCAACTCGTTTGCCCCCTTATTTTATTAAAAATGCATAATCTTCGTATGACAAATGACGACCTTGTATCCAGAACACAAACTCAATTAAAAATTGCTAGATAACAAAATACTAGCACGCAATAAAAGGACATAGTTAAGATAAATCATTTTATTCTGTAATGCAATTTAGAACTTTATTACCACAAAACGATACTCGAAATTCTAATAACAATCGTAAAATAAAGCTGAACGGTCACTTTGTTGACTTTTGGTAACAAAGTTAGTTGAAGAGGCTGTTGAAATAGTTTTCTTATCGCCGACTTACTTTAGTTGTATGACTGACTTTCATCGCTTTATAGTTTCTTGTTACTTGAATAAAATATCCTCCAATCAAATCAATTTTATATGGCTAAGTATTATTATTGAATAATATTATAGTATTGTAAATGAAAGAAATAATTTAGTTTTTTTTATCTAATTATAGAAAACATTTTTAAAATTACACATGTTTATATTAAGATTTAATTTTAATCTCGACCTCTCTATAAATTAATAAAAAAATATTTTGTCTTGTCCCACATTAAGTAACATCAAAAGATGTTTGCCCAAATTCCTAATTGATCCTCTGTTAGAATGCAAACAGCGTTTCTCGTAAACGTCAGTTTGAACATTACAGCAATTGATTAAATGAAAACCTTTCGTAATTTAATAAAATCCGGTCAACGATTTCTTTTTGATCCTTTTACAAGACGGGAAATTTACTTTAAGTGACGACTTATTTTTCTTTTCTTAATGTAAGAAAACCTCTCAAACCTGACCTTGATAGATATACAAGAAACCATTTACTTTTTTGCAGAATACTAATGAACAGTAGATATTTGTATTTCCTCCAAAAAATCCTGAAGTTTTTTCTGGCAAACTTGTCCTTTATTCTAAGTTAAAAAATATAGAAAAAAAATGTTCGAATACGTTAAATTATGTGAAAAAAATAACACAACGATACCACATCATATTTTTAAGCTAATTCAAAACGTGATTTTTGAATGAATTTGAGTGGTGGCAATTTTAAGAAAACTTGGGCTGGCCATCTAGCAACACTACCTAACTTCAAACGGATGTCGTAGCCAATTGTCAATGTCAAACGTGTGACGCGAAACTTCGAGTCGTTGTAGCATTTTAGTTTTATCGTAATTTTCTTAGAATATAAGAAAGTAAAACTATATTCCAGAATTATAAAAAGAAAGTAATTATTTTTTTTATGTTCATAAGTACAGAGATAACAACTATGAATCATGGTGAATGTTATGAAAGGAGTTCTCGTTGAATGGTAAGGTTAAGTTTATTTCAATTATATATTGTTTTTATTAATTAAAGAAGAAACATACAAGGTAAAACATTAAATAGACAAAAAAAGATCTTCACTTGTTTGTTTTTTATAGTCTTTAAAGAAATAAATGTTGGAGAAAATTCAAATTTTATGCATTAATGTAGTCCAAATCTTGAGGAATGTTGAAATTCTGTTCGATAACTTCATTTTCCATTTGAAATGTGTTCTTAATGTAAGACTTGAGTATGTAAATATTCTCCGTCCATCTATTAGTTGCACTTTTTAATTCCTGAAAAGATTTTTTAAGCTGTTTAGTTTGGAACATCAGAAAAGGTGCAAAAAACTAGATGCATTTATAAGTAAAAATTCTGTTTACAAACTTCTATCTCCGCAGTTAATGCAGCAATGTATTCAGGATCACAATCTCTGTACTTCTGTAACTCTTTTTTCAATTCAACCTCTGTCTTTGTTACTTGTTCAAGTGTTGCCAGTATCTTTTCCCTTTCTTCATTTACTACTCTTCCAACCTAAAAAATTTGATAAAAGTTGTAATAAAAAATATTACTTTAAATTTCTTGCCTGGTTGGCTTAATATTTGGCTGGTCACATCAATGTCATAAAAAAATATTTAAAAATAATGACTAACTGATTCAGATGTTATGGAATCTTCTGTCTTTTTCAGTTTCTTAACACATTCATTCAACTCGTTTTGAACATCATTTAACTTCCTTTTCTTGGCATTTTTTGCCTTGCTGAAAATAAAAAATATTTCATTATTTATCTAAAAGTTAACAAATGTAACATTTGATAAGAAACTTACCTAGGAAATGACCAAAAGTAAATGGATGTACCAATTTTCTCTGAGTCCACAAGATGGTCATCAACCAAACTCTGTATTACTTCTTTTACTGACTGCATTGTAATGCCTTTCTCTTTCGGAGCAATTTTTTCTAACTCCTGTCCAAAGCGAAAAGAATTTGAAAATTGCGGAAACTGTACGTAAATTTAAAAGCTTAAATATCTGTATAAAAAGAGATCCAAATACAGTCAAACCTGGATAAGCAAAGGTCCTAAGAATCATGATATTTGTTTGCTTATAAAGATTTCTCTTTTACCTGAGTTTGTTGCTTAAGGAGGTTGTCCATGGAGATCGGACCATAACTCAACAATGGAGGCTTATCCCTTATCCATGTTCAACTGTACTTAAAACTGTGTGTTATTGTTTTCTAAGCTTAAAACATTGTATATATTTTACCTTTAATTGAAAAAAATCTTTACTTTGATGAAAAATTTCCAGCATTCTTGTCCTCTTTTCATCCGCACTTAAACCTCTTTTCTTAGACATGTTTTATTAATTCCAGTGATCCAGCTATGAAACAATTCTTGCTTCACTTAGATGAGACTCTTGCACTCGGAAGGAAGTTTATTCTGCAAGACCTTGACGAAACACATCTGTTTATATCATCAGATATAGTGGAAACATTACAAGCTCGTGTAGATGATTTAATGGACCAATTGAGTATACCAGTACATGACAAAGGACTGTAAATATGGCATCAAGAGAATCAGGTAGAGTGAAAGAATCGGAGAAGCGAAGGGTACTTGACGATGCCGCTAGGAAACGAAGGGCCAGAAAGGCCATTGAGGCTCTCGAACAAGACAATTTCCATGAAGACCCACATGCAGATCTGGTTATGTCCAAGAAAGTCCCGAAATTCGCGGATTCAAACGAAAAACCTACAAGGAAAAAAAAGACTAGAAGTGCGGAGTATTATAAGATGAGATTTAGGAAAACTTTTGCACAACTTGTGGAAGAAGATGCAAGCAGTAGATCGGAACCTCCTAATTATTTGTCAGCACAAGTCCCACCATCAAAGTAAGTAAAATGTAATAAATTTATTACAGTTCAATAGAAAATTAAATTGGGGAAATCAACAAATTAATATAAAAAACTTATATTCATATTTTTTATGATTGTTCTTATGTACTTTAACTATATAATATAAAAAAAATTAGTAACCTACTATTATCAATATATTTATTATGACCAATCCATGTTGTATATTTGTAACAAACAACAATTCTAATAAATTTCAATATTGTTTTCAGGTTCCCTGATAGACATTTCTGTGCTGTGTGTGGGTTCCCTTCGAACTACACTTGCATTCCCTGCGGAGCAAGATATTGTTCTGTCAAATGTCTCGGAACACACTTGGATACAAGATGCCTTAAATGGACTGCCTGAATTGTTTGATATAAGTTTAGTAATAAAAATTCACACCAGTGACTCTTGTTTTAATAAATTTTTCATATCTTTCATTCTTTTTAAAATCGTCAAATAATTACCTAAGACTCGAAAAGGGGAGGTAGCGGTTCATAATAAATTCCGTCCAATTTAGCTGAGCCTAAGCCTTCCTCACAAATCACTAGTACTAATCTCATGAAATTTTTAGTAAGAAAAAACAGTTTAAAGTGCCATTTACTTGCAGTAGGACATAACACGACTTACTTCAACACTCTTGATGTTCACTAGATAAACCACTAATTACATTCCTTTAAAAATTACTAGATTTAGCAGAGAAAGTAAAACTGACGGAATTACTTCACTAACCTGTAATTAAAACAGAGCTGTAATTTTAATCACCATCACCTTTTTACGTCAGTGTTTTGTTTCCCGCCAAAACTTTTTTTTTTAAACTTAAAACGGTAAAGGTTGTCTGTCTACATAACATGTTGAACAATGCCAAAAATCGCTTCAAATGTTTATGTTTTTTGTGTATAGGTGTCTTATAATTTAAGTAATATTTTTAAGTGTTTAATTGCAATTACATTCTCATTCTATGAACTGTTATTCACAAATAATACTACCATCTATCGGCGGAGAGTTAAACAAAAAGATTTTTTTAAAACAGTGCCATCTAGTATCGGGAAGCAGACCTAAAAATAATCAAGCTTGTAACTAAATTCACTAGATGTCACTTAAAAGCAAAAATTTTAAAACAATGACATTGAATGACTTTTTGTTAGTAAATAAACTGCATAATTTAGTACAATTATTTTATTAAACAGATAAAATCTGTGATTTAACAAAGGAAATTAATATTTCAAATTTTGTTTCTAGGTGACGGGGTGACCGTTTACCGGTACGGTACATGACGTAAGGATTAGACTAAAACCTTTAATCCTAGTAGTTTAAAACATTTTAACTAACCGTGATATCGTTTCGTCGTAACATTGCAACAGAACTTGCCCTTTTTCTAAAAAAAACTCTAGAAAAAGCAGTGTAATTTCACGGCTACTTAAGTCGATCTCCAAAACATTCATTTGTTGATTTTCCATCACTTCTTGATAAATAGTACTTATGTCGTTTAGCCGTGTAAATCATACAATAGTCGTTTAAAGGCAAAAAAATGTGTTGAAAAACCAATCGATATATCGATAATGGCAACCCTTCTTTACGTAGAGGGTTGACTGCGACCATTGGCGGCGATTTTTGAACATTTGTGACACCAGCTGGCGCGATATCGAAACCGCTAATAAAGGGCGTCTGTTTGCCCGCAACTGCTGACTTGGTCACTGCTGCATACACCCGATTGAGGACAAAATGGCGGTTCCCGCCAAAACACCCTGAATTGTATAAATATTATTTTTTAAAAAAATACTGTTAAACTATGAATTTTCTAATATATTTTTTTTATTAACACTTGACTCGTTTATTATATTGTCTCATCAAAGCTCTTTTAATTCTGACAGTCTAGTTTGATTATTGGTGTAGACAAGAAGTCGAAAACATTTTTTTTTCAAAATAACCTAAATAGGAATTAAATGTGTGGCATTATCTGATTGGGTAAGCTTTATTGAATTATAGGTCGAAGTTTCCCGCGACTTGATGCGCGCGAAATAAGAAAATCGAGTAATAAATACAGCTTATGTCGCAGGGGATAGCGTAATGTTCAAACAGTGAAGAAATTTTCAAATCTGTTCAGTTGTTTTGGAAAATATTTAATGCAAATAATTATATCTTTCCTTTTTATAATATGAGTATAAATAAATAAATAAAAAAATATTACTAGGAAGTAGCTTCAAACGCACAATGTTAGGCTTTGGTAATATTGACACGCATTTCGCCTTGACATAATATAGTGTTATCACACTCTCCCTTACTCCATGTCAGCGATATCCCTCGCCAAATATTGATAAGAGGGCACGTGGGTCGTTATCACATGGGCAGCTGCAGTGATCATAATCCCTATTGTTGCAAGCAGATGGGTTTCCTCCCTACACTTCCTATTGCACGAAATGAATCCGCATACTTACGACTTCAAACTTACTCTGATAATCTGAGTTGCATCTTTATTACTCTAAGAATTTTACGGGTAAAAGTGGATAAAATAAAACATAGAAATCCATGTACTTCCTTCATTTATTACTTCCATCTTTTTATATTTTGTATAAATAATTTTTATACAACTCTACAACGATTATATTGCTTCGTCTCAGTTTTGAATTTCAACATAACCTCAAAAATAATGGTAAGAATCATTTCATTATTGTATTATTTAAAATTCGATTGTTTTTAAAAAAACAAGACAAAGCAAAATAAAACGCTTTCATAACAATAGTCGCAAACTATATCTTTTATACTATTATTTAATAACGCAACAACAATGGTGACGGCGTAATATTTCTTAATTCTAATTTATTTACAGTAAATCATATCACAATCCATGGTCGAGGCACTATGGACTTACGACTGGACAGACGCAGAAAAGTAATAACATTATAATAATACGTTTTCTAGTTATTTTAATCTTGTATTATTGAACGCGACTTATTTTTCTATCACATGGGAAAATAACCCTGCTTTTTACTTAAGGACGTATTTTTACAAAGTCATATTTATGTCTATGGTCCGTCGAACAATAGATAAAAAGAGATACCATAAATTTTTATTTAGTGTCTGTAATCCTAAATTAAGCTGCCTCGATTTTTTATAGGATTTTTTTTTAATAACTATGTCTATATATTTACATTTATTTACAAACATTATAAACTAGATAAAATATACAATTCTCACTTAAAATTATTGACTCGTTTTTCAATAAATATAAAACATTAAAGCCAAATACATCTTTTCTTATAAATGAGACACTTTACAAGTATTTTTTGTCGTCTTAGTAATACTGGGCTAGGGGAATGGTTAACAACGTTTTCTTGTCACTCGAACCACAGACTAAAAAAAAAATAAAAAAAACAACCAAAGAGATTAACTGACCGAATTAACAGTTTCTAAATTTAAGTCTGTTTGGTGTTCTAAATTCAAATTACAATACTGGAACGCATTAGGTTATTAGTGTTCATTAAATCGGTGAAAAAATTAATCATACAGTCCACAGATTCAATAAATCAACACAGATTCACAAGAGAATAGTCTGAGATCCGAATAAATTGTATAAGGAACATTAATTTCATACCGACAGGCAAAGTTACAATATTAGCATATTTTAGAGATTCCTTACATAAAGCTTACGTCCGCATATCCATGCGTCCCATAAATACTTCCTTAAAAAATTCCAAAACGACTACGCAATACCAATAAATAGTATACTTTTAACATCCAATATTATTGTCGTTTTTGTACTAACAGTCGATAGAACGTAATTAATTTTAACGATCTTAAGTCAGGAGTCCATAATTCATTTCAGTTATCTTTTAAAGCGTGTTCCAATCGTAATTTAGATAAATTTTGAAGTCCTGACCTCTCTTAGCCCTTCTCTTCCTTCCGTCTCTGCGTTTCCTTATAAAACCTGCTTATCCCTTTCAAGTGAAGGCTTCAAGGACGGCATTGTATCAAACTATCGCTCCTCGTTCCGTTCAAGGATCGTCTTTCTTTTTCCGCAGCTTGCCCTCGGTGTGTATCGTCTGTGTCACAGTTTCCACTGCCGTTGACAGATCAGCGTCCGGTTCTATTGCCGCTGACAACGCGGCAATGTACGCGCAAGCTATCCGAAGGACTGATAACTTGGAGAGTTTCTGGTTATGACTGTAAGCGGGAACTGCTCTTCGGAGTGTGTCAAAGGCAGCGCTTATTGTGTGCACTCGCGTCCTCTCTCTTGCATTGGCCTCTATTCTCCTTTCTCTCGTCATGTTCTTATAGTTTCTTTGCTCTCTTGGCTTTACCTTATCATTGTACTCCACTACACCAGGATGTGAGGGTACTCGAGGTGGTCCTGGTCTTTCTGGTGGTGGTACAGGCGATGGTGGGGGTTCCAACGGCCTTCTTCTCTGTCTTAGTAAACTGGTTTCGCTGGTCTTTTTAACTAAAGATAGTGGTTCTCTTTGCGGTTCTTCAGCGAAAGACCACGGTCTGAATGGATTTGAGTCGCTTTCTGGGCTAGCGATGTCGTCTCGGGAGCCTAATCGTATTCGTTTTTTAGGGGGCTGGAGGAGTGCGGGGGAGCGTTCTCTTTTGAGTCGCGACTCGGTGTCAGCGAGTCGCACGCCGGAGTCGTCGGAGTGTGCGGGTCCGGAGCACGAGTCGTCATCGTCGCCACCCGAGACGAAGCCAGCATCACGTTCTAATATTCTTTCTGAAACAAAAAGGCCAACATAAGATATTGTTTAATACGCGAACATAATAATGTTTGTGGAGTTTACTTTCAATTCTAAAGTTGTAGATACGATATGAATAAACAATGAGTAGCCCAGAAATATTCGAGAATAGAAGCAATGTTTTTTATCTACAAGTGAGGGCAACGGAAGCTGTGAACGACAACGACGGACAGAAATACAAACGTCGCCGGCTCGTTATAGCGTGGCACATGAGACGCGTACTAAACTCAACTATGGCAAGGAAACCGGCGGGCAATAGGTCATATTCTTTAAGTTATTCTGAATTTAAATCATAAGTGAATATTTTTCAAAATGAATACTTAATGTTTCAATATCGCACTGTTTTCAAATTTCTACAGACGAAAACAATATTAAACTTAAGAATATTTTGAAATATTACGCGGTTTGAACGTCTGCTATATTTGTCATGGCTCCACATTTCCTTTCACAAACGATTGGAGACAATGGGCGTTGCTTTTCACTAGTAATTCCGGCTTCCAGTCAATACAACCGGCCAGTGCTGCTGATTAAATCTAACTATACGGATACGCAGATTTACAATACTGGCAACAATAAAAAAAAACACAAATGTAACGTCTTTATAATATTGAATTGCCAAATAACAAAAAAATAGGTACTTTCACAATGTCGAACTTTAAAAAAAATATTAGACCATGACAATAGGCGTAATTCGATGAAATGGCCAGTAATAGTCACCTTTATAAAAAAATAATTTAGCGAAATTCAAGTTGTTTTTATCGACGTTGTTTTATTTAAATCGTATAATTAACATCGTACAAGGATGTGAGCAGGTCGAGTTTTTTTCTAACGCCATGGGAATCGGTCGCTTAGCGCCGGCGCCCGCGCACATTTCCAGTTCACGATATGCCCGCGCTAATAATTTCGAATTGCCGTTTTGTAGATCTTTTGTCTCTTTCTTATTTTTTTATAATTGTGTGTATATATAGGTACGAATTTCTTTCCTAAAATAATAATTATTAGGCTTAATTTAAGTAGAATAATTTTTTTTTTTTGATAAGTAGAATTTTTTATTTTATCTTTTATGAAATAAAGCTTTATGTTTTAAGAAAAAAACATGTAGAAAAATTAGGCGTTGTATAAGCTTGTAAACGTATTTTTAAACGTCAACAATTCTGACATAACCTAAAATGTGTCTTGACATAACCTAGTAATAACGTAATATGAAAACAAACAATAAGAAGTTGTAAGTTAATTAAATGTGAGTCATGATTTTAAAAGATTTACCAACAGTAAGCCCTCACAAGCGAGCATAACACCTGCATCTATACGTACCATAAACAAAACTGGTTTATGCCCATATGGTCGTCGCGTCTGTGATTGTTATTTATTAAATTTTACCTCTTTAAGAAATTACTGTCCGCATTCCAATCTTAATTGGTCGTTTGTTTTGGTTTGTTGCCTATTTTTAGTTGAAAAGAAAAATTATAGCTATTTAATAACATAGTGTATCGAACTTTATAAAAAACAATATGATTTGAACTTAAGAAATTTAATGATTTTAATTAAAATTATCTATATTCCTTATCTTTTAAAATTGATTATTTAATATATTCGCGTAAATAGAAATAAATAATTTTTATTTGTCACATAGTAAAAAAAAAATCAAATCCACGAGCAATTAATATTGATAATATTATGTTGGTACTAGGTATGCTACCGGAATTGTTTTATGGCTCATAATCGAGCGGTTGCGGCGCCTCGAAGGCGTTCCACAGATTATATACGGACCGACACATGTCTACACAAATTTCAACTCTATTCCAATAGAATAAAGTATATTTTATATTACATATTAATTGGCTATGAACGAGTTAGCGGAGGCGTTCGAGAGGTCACTTCTCACACTTAGGAGTGTTTTTTTTTTCTTAAAAAGGATGGTGAGGAACCGACGGCACCGCCTACGTATTACTAAAGTTTAATTACACGAGCGTTTCACTTTTTTAAGGATTAACCATAAACAAGCTCGTCTGACGTTCAAAGATCACCGCCGCCCATAAACATTCAACGATTCTAGAGTTGAGAGAGCTACAGGTGCATTGGTAAATTTTAAAAATGACACGCTTAAAAACCGTAATTAATTAAAATTATTAAAAAAATGCCTCCTAAAAGGTTTTTGACTAGATTTGGATGTAATTTTTTAAAACTATCTCTTCGTAAATTTAAGAAAATTACATACATGACTTCTGTACCAGTAAAAAATAACCTTGAACTAAAAATGTACCTAACTTCAAAATTTGAATCCATTGTAGTGTGTTAAAAGTAAGAAAAAAATCAAGGGCTGGAGCTCAATACGCTGTTTCACGTTGAAGTGTTAAAACAAAGAGGAGTCAAAGGTGCCGGCACTATGGACCCTCGACCGGTGAATGAGTGTTGATCTCGGTAAGATAAGACCGGACCCCGCCGAGCCCGGACCCATAGATATCAATCTGGCGCCAAATTTCACAGAAACTCAACGCGTTCTTGTTTAAAACGCACCTTATTTAACTTTTTTTTCTATTACCCTCACGTCGTGACAGTTTACATATTCGATTTAATTAACATAATTAGAGATTCAGAGATTTTATTTAAAAAAAAAATGGATTAAACACCAAAAGACTTTTGCCTTTTTTCATCTTTGATTATTAAAAAAACAAAATGTCAAAAATGATGCACACGATTTACCAGTGTTGCAATTACGGAAATTTTGTTTCCACGCGACGCTACCGAAATGAGAAATTGATGAGCGGTCAGTTATTTCGTTATAATAAAAAATCAGACTAATATGTCGCGTCCGTGGTTGTATTCGCACGGTCTCTTAAGCTTAATGTATGAGAAGTCGTGATGTTGTTAGCGACTTTCACCGAGCAAATATTACCAATGGCGCCGGCTCGACCGATCTTGAGCTATATGGCTCTACAGCTCTATTCTGACGTTTTAATTATGGTACATTTGAACAATGTTTGAATACAAAGTAGTGTCTTTTCATACACATTTTTAACAGACAGCTGTATAAATCTCCAATTAATAGATTTCCTTTAATCTTTTTAATTTAGGGCTTTTATTTTTTTGGACATAATAAAAATTTTAAAACCAAAGGAGTTTATAACAATTTTGTTAAAATTTTTACACCTAAGTATTTGAACAGAGTGAATTTTTATAGAGAGCTATGAGTAAATATTTATTAGCGCTTTTTCTGGTCTAAAGTAGTATTTGAGAGGAGAAAGAATGCATGCATATGCAGCGAATCTTTATAACTTTTCACAAAGGAAAATACGTTAAACCTTCTGTAATATAACAATTTCTCAAGCCTTAAAACCATTAGACGTCATTATGTTTTGAAACTTCGTAATCATTATGGTTTAACTTTCAGCGCTAGAAAGTTATTTGTTAAGTTCATTGTTTGTAGTTTATGCCTAGTCGTGTTTTTTATGTTCTAAGTCAAACTCTCTTTCAGTATACGAAAATTAATTAAAAAACATAATAAAGGAAACGCAATACTTCGAGAAAATGTTTCAGGCATTACTCAATATCAATTTGGTGTTAAACACAGTTTTAATAACAATACGGTCAGTGTCCAAACTCAAAGTAATCCCGTGATTCCCGGCATCCGATCCGGTCCGGTTGCGCGGTCCGGACCCGATGTCCGGCCGTCCGGGATCGCATTAGTCACGTACGCCAACGCCGCGACACACAGGCGCCGCGCGGTCGCCATTCCGAACATATACTTATATACTAAATTACAATTTCTTATTAAAGTACGTATTGCCGCATTGCTGAAACTTTTAAAACACAGATTATAAAAGTTTTTGTATAGGTGTCAAATTAATAATGCATATTGCCAAGAATTAAGGTCAAACTTAAAGAGATGGCAACCCTAGCCTTGCCCTATTAATTAGTATCTAGGTATGTAAAAAAACATTTGCTTTTTACACGTGTTTAGTATTAAGTCTACTGTCATAACATTTGTGTTGCCGTCTCTGTTTTGTCAAAGATAATGTGAAGGATGGCATATTATTCACGGCAGTGGAAGCCCACTGTTTCAGAGATTTTAATCGCCATTGGCTGACAGAATACGAGGGCGGGGGTTGCAGTTCTCGGCATTCCTCCGTAGCCTTCAATTAGTATTTACTGATTAGTTATATACTCGGTTAATTAGTACATGTGTTGCTTCTAATATATGTTATTCACATTCCATACGCATTATGCACAATAAACATACCGATATATTTATACTAGCTGTCGCCCGCGACTCCGTCCACGCGGAATTAAAAAACTATTGGTCACAGCGTAATGTTATATAGCCTAAAGCTTTACTCTATAAATGGACTATACAAAAAAAAAGAATTTCTCAAATCGGACCAGTAGTTCCTGAGATTAGCTTTTTATTTTTGTGACTGAGTAGTTTAAGAGTAACAAGACTCTAGGGCTCCCTCAGGAGCCTCAGCTCTGGCTGTTACTTCGTTATTGTTACCGGATTGGGAGGTCACCGAGCTCTTAGATCGCTTAGGTGGACGCTCCATGGAGTGACTGGACTCAAGGGCCCCCAAGGGAGGGACCTCGGCTTGAGCTGTCAGTCCGAGATTAGCGCGTTTAAACAAACAAACTCTTCCCCTTTATAATATTAGTAAAGATTCTAATAAGACCTTTCTCGGTAACCTGTTAATTTTAAGAATGTATGTAAAAGTTTGGATGGAATAATACCTCGTAATTTTTAAACGGCTCAACGGATGTGGTTAAAATATTTAATAAAGGTACAGTTTTTTTTTATTCGACGTCGAAGACACGGGTGACAGTTTAATATTTAAATCTAACAATTATATGCAATTCCTTTTAACTAAAGTAACTTGTGTGATATTTACTAATTCGGAGAGAACGTAATATTCATACAAACGGCAGATCTGTACGATAGTGGGCTACCATTGTTAGCAACTGTTCAAACATTGAAACGTTACAGCGA